GCTACCCGCGGCGGCCGCGGTTCTCCCTGGGCAGAAATAACTGCCCCGGGCTCCCGTGTGCGTCCTCCAGAGAACAAACCGGGCTGAGCCTTGTCCCGGGGCTGGGACGCTCTGCCCCGCTCCGCCCCGGCCACTGCTCCTTGCCTCCGACCTGGAGTTTCCCCTGGCTGTGGTGCAGTGAGTCACAAGTGGGATTTCTGCAGTAGCCGCTCTGCGCGGTGAGGGCGGGATGGCTGTCCCGCGGTGAGGGCGGCTGACCCTCGCCTGCACACGCAGACAACCCAGAGGAGTTTCGATGGGAACGTAATACCTGTGAAACTTAATACCTGCTGTAGGTGACCCTGCTTTGGCAGGGGGGTCGGACTAGGTGACCCACGGAGGTCCCTTCCAACCCCGAACATTCTGTGATTTTGCTGCTCCAGGCAAGGAGACTTGATTTGTTTCGCTCTTTGATTATGTCTTATGGGCTTTTGTATTTTCAAAAATAATTTACTCCGTAAGGAATTTCTTGGGTTTTAAGCGTGGCTGCATGGTTGCAGCTTCTGTTAAGTGAAGGGAAGCTGTGCTAGCTGAGCCATAGCTTAATTCACTTTGAAAGACTTTTTTTTTTTTTTTTCCCAAACAAAGTTTTCAGTGGAAGAGAAAACCAGTTATAAGGGTGTAAAATAGCTTCCATGAAATTTAAGTGTGCTTTTATGCAGAAATACTGCGCAGCTGGGCAGATGTGGTCTGCGATTACAGAGTCCATTGAATGTTACTCCCCTTTATGCACTTAGTGGATTACTTCGAACTGCTTAAGTGTTCTGTTCTGCTACTTAATGTGTCACTGTTGTGTTACTGCAGTCTTCTGAGCAATGTTTTTTTTAATTTTAGATTCTTTCAATGATTTATACACCTCCTATGCCATCTTTTGTATCCTTCTTATGTCTGTGGTGATACTAGTAATAAGCATCTTCAACGCTGAATTTTATGCAGGTGGGTTACGTAAATTGCTGTGATACCTGAAGTGAATGGGGTGACCACTTAAAGAGATTTATATTTACATTTGACATACTTAACATTGGTAGACTTCCTTTTAAATTGGTGTAGACAATCCACAAAGCTATTTTTAAGTGAATCATCCCAGATTCCTGCTTACCTCATGGCTGAGACCCTCTTAATTGAGCCACTTCATTGATTCCTTTATCATTTAGTGACTGGTTCCAACTGTGAAGAGTTCTTTGGTGACAATTGGGGTTTTTTGGTTTTGTTTTTTAAATGAAGGATTTTATTAGTAAGAAATGAAAATTCACTTTCAGCTTTTATTTACAGTTGTGCCATCAATACCATGCTCTCGGTTAGCACTGATAGGAAAAATTATTCACCCTCAGCAAGTTATCCATTCGGTTGTTCATGCTGTAATGGGAATGTTGGTTGCTTGGTGCGCTGCAGTTATGACAAAAGGGAAGTTCCAGTTTCTTGCTGTGCCCTGCATGCAGTCAGAAAGGTAATTATTCATGTGTTAAAGATAAATAATGCAAAGAACTTCTATTGTAAAATGTATTTGCTGATGACTTCATTCAAACGAAGAACTAAAATCTGAGTACTATCAAAATAAGCAATTAATTGATATACTTTATTAAAGGACAGTAAATACCTTGCTTTGTAAATGTTACAATGCACAGAGAAATAACTGGGCCAAAACCCCAAAATCGCCAGGATTCTTAATGGAAAATTGAATAATAACAAATTGGTTGTCACTTGAAGTAAGTCTTTGTCTCCTGGTTAGTGTGACATGAGGTCCCTTCCGACCCCAAACAGTCTGTGATTCTGTGTGATTCATAATACTGGAAGCATCCTCATGTCTAAATTGCAAAAAGAAGTGGTGGGACTCCTACTTTAGAAAATACTTGCTGAGATGTCATCGTATGTACTGATCAGGAAAGTGAAATTCAACTTCTGAGTTGAACTTCCTAAGGTTAGAGTGACTTTGTTTTTTGAGATCAGAACTAACTCTAAGTTTTCTGTTTCAGTCTAGATGATGCTGTTCCTCAGATGTGCCTAAATGAATATCACCTCTTTTTTCTACTTTCTGGAGCTTTCATGGGATACAGTTACAGTCTTTTGTATCTTATTAACAATATGAATTATTTGCCATTTCCAGTCATACAGGTAAGAGGTTGAAACACTTTTGCAGAAAGACATGTCTAAGGAAACAAAAAAAGCCTTGACTCTTTATATTGTTGAACATGGCGGTAGCAGCTGTCTTGCTGGCATGCTTTTGCTAACAGATGAAACATATGCTCAGCTTTAAATGCCAGTGATGTTCCCCTTTCTCCTTCCTGCTCAGCCACTTTGAAGTGAACACAGAGGTCTGGGATGCTGTGACTATAAAACTTAATGGCCCCCCCATGCATGTTAAAAGCTGACTGAGCTGGGCCATTGCAGAAAGTGACCTACAGGAAAGAAACAAGATACACAAACTGAATGTTTTCTTCAGGAACT